ATCAAAGGTTATAGATCAACACTGACAATTATACTCGATGCTGCAATGTACCTTACCACAAATCCTGCACACAACGGTTGCAAGCTCTTCCATCTAAACCCCCACCCACCCACCACCATCTCATCCCGACCCTTCCCCTCAACAGGCCCACTTTTTCTCCTCCTCCTCCTCCTCCTCACCTGAGGCAGCGCAGCGTTGATCTGCCGCTGGAGCACGTCCCTCTCGTGAAGCGCCCCCTGCAGCTTGGTTTGAGACTGAATGAGGGTCTCCTGAGTCTCCCTGAGGGACTCCAGGAGCTTGTCCCTCTCGTCCAGCATGTTGACCATCAGCTGCTCGAAGTTGGCCTCCTGGTCCGAGCCGTTCGGGACTCCAGCGGTGCCTCCTCCTCTGGGAGGTCCGGCAGAATCTCCCTCGCTGATGGTCGGCATCACCTCGCACATCATCTTCCGCGCTCTGTAGTCTGGCTATACGACACTGTCGCTATCGGGATTGAGAAAAAGGGAAAACACGGTTTACAAAGCCTGATAAACAGACTTAAAATGACTGATAAGAAGGCCTATTTCACGCCCCGCAGCACCGCACAGTCTATATGCAGCCGTAGACACACGTCTCATTACCATTGCATTACATGTCTCATGCATCTAACGAGCATCCTCATGCTTTCCATCGCCCTTACCTTCTCAGAGTGATTGAAACGATGCGATGGTGATTGACCTTTCATCCATATTAACCGGCGTTTCTTCACCCCGTGAGCAGATCCGCCCTGCCCGGCGCGCCATGCACTCACATGTAGAAATCCCGGCGTGATATGATTGACAGCTCAGGGATAGACGGCTGCGTTTGGAGGGGTGGGGCCCGCGAGATCATAGTACATTTACTGGAAAATATGCGTATTAAAAACAAAGATTTACATCTCCTTTAGAGTCCCCTATTCAAGGGGATAGAGATAGGTCTGCATCCGCCTTCTCCGCTTCCATCTCCAAACACGCACACCGTCACCGAACCGACGATCACTCCTCCCCCCCCCCCCCCCCCCCCGACACACACAGTCGCTTAGTTACACACACAGACACACGCGCGCGCGCGCGCGCGCACACACACACACACACACACACACACACACACAGCTAAGGGAATCTGCAGTTGTCACTACTACCAGGTTAGACAGCTCCAGATAAGGGACCGACTCTGCAGCGTATGCGTTTTGCACAAACATGCGCATGTAAACTGGGCTCTGAATTTAGCCTGACAGTCATACATTTAACAGCATATTCTTTTTAAACGATATCCTAGTATCATGTTTCTACTGGAAGCCTCGCGCTTGATTGTTCAATTGTAATTAACTTTTCAACATCAGCACCACTGAGCAGGTTACAACCTGACAGCTCCTGAGACATGATGTTCGTTCCAGAGGCATTAGAGGCAGTTTGTATCCTCAGAGTCTGCAGCGCCTCCTGCAGGATCTGAAGCGAACCGTCAGCAATAGGCTACAGTGTTTTACGATTGCTATTGGTTATGTTGTTACAGTTATTACTCTAATAGCCAATGAAAAACCCATATTACTGTTAAATTGGTGTTTCATTGGCTTTGTATTCTTACACACTTCTCAAAAAATACAAATGAATGAACAGGTTGGGTATGTTTGATAAACAACATTTTTTTGTTTAAGACAGGGCACAAACACTAACATACAGAAAACATAAAAACTTGCACCTCTGATTTTTAAAGCAGGACATAACCATGTTTCCTTCAGAGACAAATCTTAAAATCTCGGATAAATGACAGTGTGTCTTTCCCAGTTCAATATTGAATGAATTGGAAATTTTAAAGAATTTAACGTGAAAATTATTGATATTATTAATATTTTCTGGTTATTCATTCAAAAGACTTGAAATGTACAAAAAATTTGATTAGACAAATAATGAGAAGTGTCTCACTTGTCTTTGAAGTGCAGCAATGGTTTCTCCAAAAACTAATGTTGCTTTGGTTTTTTTTTATGAATCTTCCCCAGGAAATGTTCTTCTCTGCAGCTGATTTTAGAGGTCCTGACAACAATTTTGTCAAAGTCTGGCAATTCTGGGATGCTAGTGCCCTGCAGCACATTACAAAATCCTTTCATAGGTCACTGCACACAGCTCTGTTGATCTTTTTAGCATAAAGGCTCCTGGGTCTGATAACATTGTGAATGTATTGCTTCTCTGTATGATGGTAATTATCTCAGTCTGTCTGGCTCTGTGAAATCTGGGCAACTTAAATAGTGACCATTACCGTATAAAAGGAAGGAGGAAAAAACATCTTTACTTAAAAACACTTATGACGTTGTATGATGTGATAGATTGCAGAGCTGACTGCATATGCCCCATCTCTCTGACTCACTTTGTCTGAGCTCTTGTTGAGAATTTATAACTCAGCTCAAGGATAACCAATAATCAATATGCCTAAACCACACTATCAGATATCTTTTTGCTATTTGGAAATACACCAGAATAAAACATAGCATTGAGCCCCGTTAAAATATGTAATGATACATAATATGATCCCCGACTTATCAAATAAAAGCCCAAAAACATCTTTCCACACAGTGAAATTGGTCTGGCCCAGTTCTGTGCCGTACAACATACTTTTACAGCAATGACTAGTGGCCAACATCTGGCAGCCAGAACTTGGCCCATGTATGGCTCTTAACATAGCCTTATCTCAGCCAACTGTAAGACAACTATTGGCCCTTGTATACTGGCCCCCCTGTTGGACCAGACAAGGTTCGGCTCTGGTTTCAAATGTCAGCCTTAAACCAACCAATCCCTTCCTTTGCCATACCTGGCCCAGATGAAAAAAGTCTCAAAAACATCTGAAATATGGAAAAAAAGATTGACCTTTGACATCAACTTAATTTATACAGCACAATAAAACCAGATACTGTAAAATACATAAAACCACATGAGAAAACGGTAGAATGAATACAAACATAATACACATCAAAGCAAATAAATTACAAAGAAAATACAGTTATTACAAAAATAGAGAGACACATAAAGCTGTATTCAAAGATAACCTGATTAATCCTCAGAAGTTTCTTTGGCTCTGAAAAATGTCAACCCTCATGAGCTGGTCAAGACAGTCTAGAGCCTTTCTTTTAAAAGCTTGCATCAGATTTGATAGATGATGAACTGTGTCACATTGTCAACCTTACCTTGACTGCAAATAAAATCCCAGAGGACTTGAAATCAGCTGTTGCAATTCCCCTGTTTAAAGAAGGGGATCCCACTGTGCTAAACAATTATAGACCAATCTCCAAAGTTTTTGTGTTTCAACAACAATCAAGACACAGGCGCATCCAAACCAAAGGGGGCAGGTGCGGTTGAACAAGAAAGTCAGTGAGAAACAAAGAAAAAGATGTCTCACACACTGCAGGGCTCCAATAGTCCAGTCTGAAGTGCTTGAAACCTTGGTAAGTGAACACAAAAGAATATCTGACTCTCAACTCTATTTTCTTTGCTTTTCAGCAGAATTCAAACTACATTACTAGAACCCCGGCTGTTCAGTTAGAGGGTGTTACCTCTGAAGTACTCTACAAGGGGGTACCACAAGGGTCAGCTCTGGGCCCACTAATGGACTTGGACAGAATCATCCAAATTGTTCTGTTCATTTTTATGCTGATGAGGCTGCCATTTACTGGTGTGCACCTATATCTGCACAAGCTTTTGCAAATTTTCAGCATGCCATTTTTGACTTTTGAAGAACAGCTCTGTCAGCTGTTTTATATGCAGACAAAACTTATCTGGGGTCAATGAATAACGTTTTTTTAATTATAGTTGAAGACAGCCCGTCTTTCAGTGAGCACATTTGGTATGTTGTTAAAAAGCTCAGGGTATAACTGCTGAGGCTTTAAAGGAAAAAACTCCCGTTTTTCCTTTTATGAAAATAAGAAACTAGTTGATTCCACTTTTACCTACCCTGGATGATGGTAATGTACTTTACATGAAAGACTCTACTCAGTGTCTTCATATGGACAGTGTGTGGTGCAATGAGATTTCTTACTCCTCATTTTAGCCTACTTTACATTTTGAATTTCAATGGACTGATTTTAGTACAAGTCGGCTTGCGCATTTGTTTATCTCCATTTATAAAGCTATTATGGGCCAGATTCCGGACTACCTTGCCTCTCTTTTAACCTTGAAGGACAGAATCCACAACCTTTGCATGTTGAACATTGTACAATTTGTTGTTCCCAAAGTTTGAACTGAGCAGGGAAAGCACGCTTTTATGTCTTCTGCTACTTGTGCTTGGAACAGTACTGTCTGATTTTAAACTGAAAAACTTAGTTACCCTGAATGTTTTTAAATCATTTGTGAAAAAGTCTAAAATCCAAACTTTCTGTTTGCTGCTGTTTTAGCTGATGATTTTATTATAATTAGCCTATTCTTATTATGTAAGTCAGATGTACTGCTTGAGTTTGAGTGTTTTGTTGTTGAAACTGTGTTGCTACTATTCTTGGTCCTAAATGGGACTTACCTGGATGAAGGTTTAATTAAATTAATGAATTAGATGAAACACTGTACAATAACACATTATAAAAAATGACATACTATTGTGTAAAGTAAGTCCTAAATGAAGAAATCTTGATAATAGTCTTTATTGGCAAGACATTAATGGGGCAGACACACTTTCCTTTGTGAGGAACAAAAAATGACTAAAATAAATAAATGTTGGGAGAAATGCATACAATAATGTATAAATAATGAAATAAATGCATCAATAAATATATAAATATATATATATATATATAAATATATTTATTGATGGATTTATTTAATTATTGTATGCATTTCTCCCAACATTTATTTATTTATACTTTAGTCATTTTTTGTCCCTCATATTCCTTCACCTTCTGACAAGGAAGGTCATTACAATGTTCGCCTTAACCGGCAGATGGCGGTAAATCAGCAGAGGAAACGAAAACGTCAACCATACTCTCGCGATACTTAAAAACGTTACGTCATTCCATGATGGCTGAAGATCCTGGTGGAACATTTTTCAATTTCTCTGTCATTTTTCTTTCTTTCTCTCTACCTCCGCTTGCCATAGAGACATGGCAGGACTCACTGGCCCGTTAAGTGTCCAAAGATTATTGGTGTCGACATGCCCAAGAAAGGGAACCGAAAACGGCTGAAATTCAAGGCCGGGGACGTTTGTTCGGAATCAGGTCGGTGGCGTTTACATTAACTAGCATTAGCCGTCAAGCTCACGTTAGCCCGCCCACTAGTATGCTAGCTCGTTCTTCTGTAATGGTATGCTAAATACTTTAGTCTTTGTTATTTGATGTATAGAAGATGGAGGTTGGGTGATTGAAAATGCATGTGTCCAGGTTTGTGTACTGTCCGTTTTGGCCATAAATGATATGTTGTGTTACTGGGAGACATTACTTATAAACAGCATTTTTATATACTTTTGTTTTTCTTTTAGTGACTGTTGCTGATTATGCTGATGCCGACCCAGCCGTTGTGAAGTCAGGGAGGGTGAAAAAAGCTGTGGCAAATGCAGTTGAAAAAGAAGGTAACTTGTGAAGATGGGGATTTTTATTTCGTCTTATCTGTAAAGTCGATGAAGTTGTTGAAAGTGGCCACTGTGTTTCAGTGAAATTCCTCTGCGGGCTGGACGCGTCTCAGGGTGCTGTTGAGGAGGTCCTCTCCTCTGCAGCAAACGACGCCTTGGAAAGCAGTGATGACCTAGACCCTGGAGAAGATGCAGAAAGTGAAACTAAAGTTGCCCGCAAGAAGAAAAACAAGAGGAGAAAGGGTACACTTTTTTATATATTGAACGTTTTCACAGAGTTGAACATGAGGTCTCAACATTTTAGGAATATGAAAACCTCTGCCGGGTGTTTACTGTGATGTTTACATTTTGTGATTACAGAAAGCAGTAAGAGCAGTGATGGGCAGGACTATCCAGTGGATATTTGGTTAGTGCTCTCCTCTTACATTCGACCTGAAGATGTCTGTAGATTTGCTCTCATCTGCAGAAATGCTTGGATAGTCACTTGCACGGCAGCTTTCTGGACCAGGCTCTACAGAAGGTGAGTTGAAAGTCAGGTGTGTGAACTGACATTTTGTGTTGTTGTCATGTTTTCTCCCCCCTCTCACGTTCCCTCTCCACATCGCAGACACTACAGGATTGATACTGACCTGCCGTTCCGTCTCCAGCCCGACTCTATTGGCAGGATGCAGTATTTACGGGCCCGTGTGATTCGCTCCCTTTTCCATTTGTATGAGCCATTTGACTTGCGTGTATCTAAAATACCTGCTCTGCCAGAATCAACACCCACAGCCCTAATTAATTCCAAGGTAAATCAGCTGATCTCAAGTCAGATGACTTGTTGATGTGAAGCTAAAGTTAGTTTTTGTTGTTTGTATCTGTGTCATGTCTGTTAACATTTTGTGCAGCTAGTCATTTAAACTTAAACCTTTTTCATACATATGCCTATATACAGATATATTGAGTAGTAAGCCAGTGGGAAACAGTAGCCACCTAGGGGTGTCCGGGGGCATGCCTGGTTATAATCATTATGATATCCAGGCTTTGCCCTGCGTCCACTGAAGCCACAAAGCTAAGAGATAACCAGACTTATTTGAAGTCTTCTTTGGAAGAGAACCTGCAGACTTTACCATCAATATTAAATACTTAAATATGTTTTCCTTTTGTTTTTACAGTGTTTGCTGTTCTGGGTTAGAAAGGTTATAGGGACTCGGCCAGATGCATTGTGGGAATTCAACTTTAAGTTTTTAAAACAGGTAAAAGAAATGCTCTTCAAAACCAAGTACATGTATTTCTAACATGGAAACCCCGTGTCATATTTGATTTACAGCTGTCTTACTTGTTTGGTCATCTTCTTTCCAGCCGGTACACAGTAAGAATGGTTGTGCCAAGTCCTTGCAAATGCCCAGACAATACATAGATGTCCATTCAAACCCAGACTCTGACTGCTACATACTTCAGGTCACCACCCTAAACTTCATCTTCACCCCTGTGGTCATGGGCATGACGCTGACCCTGGTTAGTAACTCTTCTCCGTTTGGTATTGGCTACTACTGAATATGGTAGACGTATAGTTAAACTTTTTTTGCATGAGTGAACCTATAACCATTGATAGAATTCATTTAGACCATCAGGAATGTTTTTTACTGAGTGAAAGTGGATTTAAGAATTCTGCTTTCTGTCTTACAGAATCAAGAAAAGTGTGATTTTTAAGATAAGGTGCACTGACAGGATATATCTCCATGTAACCAAAATATCTTTAACTTGTCTCCTCATCTTTTCCCTCTTTCAATCTTTTTGCCGTACAGTTCACAATCAACGTTAGCACAGACATGCGCCACCACCGTGTTCGTCTGGTGTTCCAGGACTCTCCGCTCCAGCGAGGGAAGAAGAGGGGAGATCAGGGCGGGACTCAGGTGGTGTTAGATCCTGTACAGAGTGTGAGGCTCATGGACTGGTGGCACCCACAGTACCCCTCCTCACCCTACACGTAGGAGCCCTGCCCCCTCAAACCTTCTACAGCAAACCATCACATCAAGATCCCTGCTGTTGTCTTCTTCCACTCACCACAGAAAAACAACAACCCATTGGCTTAATATGGCGAACACTCTTACTACATTCAGCAGCAAAGTTTTTGCACATTCACATTTTGATTGTCTGCTTTAGATGTTAAAGAAAGCAGACATTGACCTGGCCTTAGATTGGATGCAAATGCTACATTAAGTGTCAAATCATAAGTGTGTCCACCTCACACCCTACTTGTAGTGTTACTGAGACTTAGTATATTGTGCTTTATTAGCACTTTATGTAAATCAAGTTCTGCAAGGTCCATCCACTTGTATTCATAGGGAAACAGGGTTTGTTATACAAATCAGCCATTTCTTACCACACAGTGATGAAACCCTTTACCTTTGAACAACTCAGCTGGAGCAGTTCCTCTGTCTCTCTCTGGGCTGAGTAATATGAAAAAAGATACAAATTCATTTTACATGATTTAGTGAAATAAGTCATATTTGATAACTTCTCATATATTACAAATTACATCCACTTGTTTGGTGGTTTCTTAATTTGTCTCTTGTATAAAGCAACGTAATGAAAATTGAAAACTTTAAATAATTATTTTTGGTGTAATCTTTAAGAAAAGATGCAAAGTTATATCAGACGAAATCGCACACTATATTTTACTATTTAAAAACTTTGTTATGACGAAGATAAAATTCAAAGATGAAAATTGTGGGACATATTGCTCAGCCCTAGACGTGGCAAAAACGAACGTGTATTCATTGCAATCAGATTATTTGAATGATTAATATAGACAGAATCAACTTGTGACAGTTGATGTCGTTATGGATGAACAGGGTGGAACATTTTAAATGTGTCAGATTCTATAAATCACCTGCTTCATTATGATGGGGTTAAGACATGAATTCATCCATCTGCCATTTACAGTGGAAACTGTTTAACTTGATTGAATTTGCACTTATACATACATTTGAATGAAAAAAAGACAGCTTAATCACATACAGTACTAGAAATGAAAAAAAAGTTGGTTGATGCTGTTACCACTTGGCAGAAGACCACTTGATGTTCTGTTAAGCAGTGGGTGATGTCTGCATTGGTAAATAAATGTACTGCACTGAAATTAAATCTGAAACTGCCCATCCAAACTGCCTACAGTTCTGTCTTGAAATATTGACACGTCATGATTTGTTTCCCCCTTGTGGTCATAATGGGTACTACCCGTGTCGCTCAGTTTTACATCTATGCTTGTTTTGAGTTTTCTTGATGTCTAGCGCTGAATTTGCACAAGGCCATATCTACTATATTTTTATGAATGAAAAAAAACCCGCTGTTCTTGCACAACAAAAAAAAAGTAAATGTTTTTAAATGCTCACAACGGGACAACCAACAATGAAACATTGAGTGGTCTTTAAACCACAGAGATATGCCTCCATCTACGAATTTGGGATTCATACAGGGATTAAAAGTATGTTTCCTCAAAGTTAAATGGGTTTTAAACAAGAGGAGGAACACGTGAAATTCAATTATATAGCAAAACTGAAACTTTGGCATTGATACTAGGTAAATAAGTTAATGTTATGTAATGAATACATGTGAAGTTACTGCAGCACTATTCATTGGTTGACATTGTTAAACAGGTTTCTTATCGTACATAGTGTTAGGCCTACCCAACCCTGCACACTGACTTTGATGACTTTGATAAGCACTGACAGCTAATATGTAAAATAATTAACTAGGTCATATATAAACTGAACTAATGTTGGTGGTTTAAAAAACCAACAGTCAAGCTGGTCTTCGATGTATTCCGGGCTAAAGTTAGAGGATCTCTAAAGACTCCCTTTGGAGTCATCGGGCATCACGTCACCTCCTCAAAATACCGCAGAGTTTGGCGAGGACACGGGGAAACTACATTTCCCACAATCCCGCTTGCGCCGTGCCATTGGTGGTGGCACAGGTGACCGCAGACGCTCCAGCGAGTTGTGACAACATCTCGACGGTGCAAACGAAAACAAATTAGCCTCCGAAGTGAGCGCTGTAACAGCCTGTGGAAATATACAGAAACTTGACTTAACAGAGAGTTTTTCTTTTCTTTTCCACGGGACGCTGTTCTTGGTGTGTCTGCTTGTGGCGGGTTGGGTATCACCAGAGCGCACAAGAGAAGTGGGCACGCACTTTTCCTGAACCTTACTACTTCGTTCTGTCTGACCTTCAGCTCGGGGTAAGTGATATTCTACCACAGCCACTGAAAGTTAGCCTCTGCTACAACAACACTGGCATCCCTCTCGAAACACTGCAAAGGAATATTATATGCGTATGTCTCGATTTCCGTATAAAATTGTGATTCTTTTTCTTCTTCTTGGAGTTCAAAATATAAAATAGCCAACTCGTTCTTCGCAAGTAATGCCAAAGATTTCTTGAAGGCTGTTTTTCAATTAAATGGAGAAAAATCGTTAAGAAGTTTTTTTTTTTTTTCTTTTTGCATCGTAGTTGAGACTTGTAGACGAACTGCATTCTTAAAGCGACACTTTTAAACATTCTGGCTGGAAGTGTCATAAATCACAGTGCATCACAGTGCATCACAGTGTATCACAGTGCATCACAGTGCATCTCTGTGCATCACAGTGCATCACAGTGGGCCTTTGTTAAGATGTTGTATTCATCTCATTGACAATGATAGCCTACTTGAAAATTGTTAGTAGCATTACAACAAAAATGCTGAGGAAGTCCTGAGCACCAACCAAAACTTGAAAATAGAGAACCAAAACTGAGGTATGTCCAATTTCAAGGTTATTTTTTTCAGAGTAATTTTCACATCAATAAGGAATTCTTAAAAACACAATAGTGTACCAGTCAAAGCAGCAACATACTGATTTTTGCATGCATGAGGGGACACTGGCACCATTTTAACATCCACTGTGTTGGACCATAATGCATCATTTACCCTCCTCTATGCTGTCATCAGTGAGCTCTCTGCTGAGAGCTGCCCCTCTTGCCATTTATAAGCAGTAGCCAGGGCCAGTATCAGTAACAACACCTCAGGTCCAGGGTATGCTGCTATGAATAAGCTGTGACTGTAAAACTTGACAGACCATAATACACTGCTGCCTATTCAAGTACTGCGCTTGAAAGTCCTGTACACACACACACAAATACAGAAGGCACCACCGGCCATTTATGCGCCCCTTTGTATCGTTTGCATAGCAGGATTAATTTAGCATGCGTTTATTATTAGTGTGGGTGCGTGTTGACAGAGGGACACACTTTGTTATGCCTTATGTGGTCCATTAATGCAATGTCAGTGGATCATTCTGATAATTTGGCATGCAGCTGAGGATTTTGGAGGAGCTTCATGTTTTGTTTGACTCTAGAATATGTTCAAACTTCTTACTTAGAGCTCATGATATACAAACTGTCATTCACCTAGGACTCTTTAAATTTAGGGTTTTTTTGTGATCACTTTTGCCATTCCACATTATTTATCAGGATCAATGTGTGTTTCAAGATATAGGGCTTTCTCTGAGTTACTCTGTGCTCCACTACACTGTCTCCTTGACTCCTTAAGTTAAGGTCTAACTTTATCTCTTCAGCAGCTGGACAGACTGAATTCTGCTGTCCCACCTGAATAGCTCCGTAGAGTTAGACGTCACTCCAACCAAGTGTTTGACATTAGCTGTAAACCCTGACCGCTGTGAACCATTCTACAGGAAACACAAAAAAGGTCAAAGGTCAGAATTTAGTTCTGTTATTCTTACTAGTCATGGTTATCATGAACTGAGTGCTTTCGGTCTCTGCATTTTTAAGAAGTTTCCCTTTACAGGCTTTACTGTAATCCAGCATTGATCATGAAGTGTTATGTAACACGGTGTTGTGTGATGTAGATTGTGAAAGTCAAACTTTGGGGCAAAGAGTGGCATTCAGACAAGTCAGCTGTCAAAAAATCTTTGAAATGACCTTTGGATTTTGTAGAAATATAATCACAAGGTAAAGTGTTTCTTTTTAAAGTGTGTTTTTCTTTCACTTTCTTTTCTAAAAGGATTTCAGGGAAGTTGTCCGATGATCACAGAGGTCAGTCAACAACAGTGGCAATTCTGGTTTCTTTGTTTCTTCAAATATTGCTTCTTTTTTTTTTAAATATAAAAGGCTTAAAACAGATGGACGACAGGAGAGCTTCTACCTCTCTGTTGTTCTACTGTTACCGAGAAAACAGACGCAGTCAGATGGTCATTCACATTCATGTGGGCACGTTAAATGGCAGGACTATATGTGAACACACACAAACACTCTGTGAATGTGTTGTCGGGGTGTTTTAAGGTCACATAATGGAGTAAACATTTATCCATCTAACACTCATGCAGATTTTAAGTGAGAGAGATTTGTTATCAGAAAAACACAGATTTCCTGCATAGACCTAAAACCTCTCTTCCACTGTCATTTCCTCCTTTTTATGTATCAGTTAAAGAATTAAAACGTTTCCGTTGTCTATAAAAAAGATCAAATAGATGGATGTACTGTGCAGCAACACTGGCATAAAGTTAAGTATGAACTGTCCCACTAAATTAGTAAATCTGAAATTAACAGTTGAATTGAATTAAAGCTTTGTATTTTATCATGTGGCTCTCGACGTGTTTGTATAATTTTCCTCAGAATGCCTCTGAACTAAAATCCTGTCAAAGGGATCAAAAACTACTACTATAGCTCTCTGCTTCATACCCAATCAGAGATCTACGATAAGAGAAAAGCTGGACATAACTACCAGTTTTTTAAAGGCAAAAGTAAATGTAAGGTCTCTGTGTAGATGTTTATACCTCTGCTCCCACTGCACTCACTCTCTTTGTGCTGTGTTGAAGCTCATTGAGTACAGATGCACATAGAGGAGTCAATGAGGTTACAGAGTGCACTCAGTGTAAGGGGTCAGGGGCTAGTTAACATACTGAGTGGTGAGGTCACTGTCAGCAAGGTCAGAGGTGAACAGTACGTATAGAGCAGCAATGGCGCCCAGCAGGCTGATTTGCACACTCTTCAATAAGCACAGCAACAAACCTGTTCAGATGACCTGCAAAGAAAGACGGAGTCAAATGTCATGTTCAGAAACCTCAAAGGAGAGCTGATCATTTTCACTTCATGCAAACAGAGCAGCGAGAGTGTAGCAGAATGTTTGAGTTAAATTGTGGAACTGGTTGAGTTGGTGGAGTCATAAACAACCTGTTGCTGATCTCTACTCTGACTACTATTTTCTGCTTGTTTAACTGTTGTATAAAAGAAACATCACACTGGAGGTGGATATGTTGTCCTGGATATCAGCACTTCTGTGATTATCCTCGACTGTAACCGAATCACAGCAGTGCTGATATTGCATATTATGTATACTTGTGTTGTTAACTTTTTTTTTTTTTACTTCTCTTTGATTTAACTCGATAAGATTTTTTTTGTTTGGCATGTTGGTTGTGGTATGGGACCAGTGTATTGACTGGTATACTTGCTTATATTTACAACATTTGAGGGAACATTGATTACCGATCATATCTTTACTGATACCATTTTGAATGACAATACTGCTGTGATAATTTCACACAATCATGAACCTGAAATTAGTTGAATTTTTTGCTTGACTATTTGGTTCCATTTTTGGATCCCTCAATGACTGGCATACTTGCCTATACCTGATTTGCAATCGTTTTAATATTGCTTGCAGATACTGCTGCTGGTGTGTGTATTGATACGGATACCCTGTTTTACCTTTGTTGATACTGGTGTCAGTATTGGAACAACTTAATGCATAACACAACTAGTGGCTACACTGGAGTGCTTCACTTTAGTGCACTCGACGCCTGTGTTTGAATTTGTGACACAAATTGGCACAAGCACTGCGTCCTCTGTGGTGTGCTTATGGAAAAGTGTGTGTGTGTGTGTGTGTGTGTGTGTGTGTGTGTGTGTGTGTGTGTGTGTGTGTGTGTGTGTGTGTGTGTGTGTGTGTGTGTGTGTGTGTGTGTGTGTGTGTGTGTGTGTGTGTGTGTGTGTGTGTGTGTGTGTGTGTGTGTGTGTCATGTTTTCAGCCTCATTGGATTTATGTCCGCTTGAGTTGGGGTTAATTTTCTTCAGGTAAACATTGGCAGTGGTGCAAATGCACACAGACACACTGACTGGG